GCCTCCCAAAGTGCTGGGATTACAGGCGTGAGCCACTGCGCCCGGCAATTTTAAAATATTTTAATTAAATAAGCATGTATGTTTAGAATTTAATTTTGTTAGATATATGAATAATTATTCATTAAATAATTCAACCAAATTCATAAAATCAAAGCACACTGAAAGTTATTCTAAGTTTAATAACTTACATAAACACGTAAGCAACTGTGCTCCTTCCGTACTTTTTTTCTCCCAATTTTTGTTTTTTTCCTTTAATGTCACAGAGCAAGCAATATCTTCTAATGATGTAGACTGGAGACAACCCTAACCTGCTATGAGAATAATGAGAATGAGAGAGAAAAATATTAGTTTTAGTAAATAACACTTTTAGAAATACAATTGATCTTCCATATCCGAGAGTTTCTCATCCGTGGATTTAACCAACCTCAGGTAGATAACATTCAGAAGAAAACCACAATAAATATTGACAATACAATACAAAATAATACAAATAAAACACAGTACAGTATGACAACTATTTACATAACATTTACATTATATTGGATATTATACGCAATCTGAAGATGACTTAAAGTACATGAGAGGATGTGCATAAATTATATGCAAATACTATGCCATTTTACCTAAGGGACTTGAGCATCTGTGGATATTGATACCATGCAGGGATCCTGGAGCCAATATCCCATGGATACCTATGGATGAGTGTGTTCATTTCTCACTCACAGTTCAGTCGTTTGATCTCTAGCATTGGATTGGAGTTGGCCAAATTATTTTTTCCAGAATTTATTATTTATTTATTTTAAACTTTTCATTGATATGTAATGTATGTAGAGAAATGTACACATTAGATTAAATGTACAGCTTGATGAATTTTTATAACTGCCACCTGTGTAATCAACACAAGCATAGCTAGTGCTTTTATTTTTATTTTTTGCAAATTTCTTTATGTCTCTTTCTCATGATCAAATACTTTAGCTACACAAATGTTAACAAATTCACTCTTTTTTTCCAGTTTACCATGCTTGGGAAAAAGAATGAATTGTTCCCCATTGTAATGAATCAGTCTGCTGATGATGTACTCCAGATACAAAATATGCAGAACATGATTCATTGAAATATGATTTTAGCCTGATTTTACAAAGAAAAGGGAATTATCTCCATAATAGGATCAATTGCTGGAAGATCCGGAGAGTACACATATTTGAGTTTTGGCCAGATGATATTGTTTCACATCAACAAAATGCTCAGATAGTTATGAAAGGGGATAGAAGTCCTTATTCCAAGCCAAATTCTTTTTTACATAATCTGAGTTCAGTAAATTCCTACCACATTTTTCTCCATCAACATACTTTACTCCATATTTTACCTCTTTTTAATACTTGTTTGGAATTCCAAAGATGAAAAAGTTTATTTCGCCACCTTTTCTTTGTTCCATTTGAGGGAGATTGTGTGCCATTGCAAATGCTCCCTCTGTCACTATTACTATTATACCTTGCGATAAGAGTATGGTATTCTGTCCTGCCTAGTTTAGCAATGATCTGAAGTCCAGACTCTTTAACTTAAATTGCCTTTATTTTAACTTAGGCGCCTTATAGTTATACACCTATTTTTCATTTTCCCTGTTTGTCATTCATCAATCTTTGGGGTTTGCTAGTCCCTTGGAAATGTCAACGCTGATTCTCATTGAAGTGTTTTAAGGATACTGAATCAGCACATGTTATTTTAATTTCAGCATCCCTAAGATTTTTCTCCCCTGTAATAGATACATATATGTCTAGAGTCTTAATAGCAACAGGTGTTGCCAGCCCTCAGATACCCTCAAACACATGGGTAGACTATATCTTTTACATTTTCCTTCTGTGTATTCTACTACAGGGACTTATTCAATTAGAGTTTTAGAAAAACTAGTAGATACATTTTAAGTTTTTAAATTTTACCTTTCTTACCACACATGAGGGCTTAATGATGTCTGGAGTCATCCATATGTTATCTTGTAGATCTCCATGAGTGATTCCTGACATGTAAACTTATAGGGAAAATATGGCTTTTGATGAATAAGCCAATCATGAAATTGAAATATATTTTACTGATCACTTACTGATACAGCAAAAACAAAAATACAACCAAAAACCCACCACATGTTAATGTCAGATTCTATAGTGTATAAATGGGGCCAGGAGAGATACAGTATGCCTGATATCTATACATGTGTATTAATTCCAGCATTGGAAAGGTGCTTTCAAAACATATGCCAAAGAAAGATGACAAATTACCAAAGCATCTGTTCCCTGGGGAAAAGATTCTAAGAATAAGCAAGAAAATATATAACAACTTAATTTTAAACACACATGGAACCAGAGATAATGCATGAGCAGTCTAATCCTGCCCTTCTCTTTTATTAATTCCAGAAAACGAAAACATATTTGACTCTTTGTCCATATTACTGTTTGCCAGTACAAGAAAAAAAAGAATAGTGCATTGAGCTTTCTGTATTTCTCACTCTTAAGGATCTCTGTCCATTGTTTAGATTTACAGCAGAATTTGATTTCCGGACATATGATTCGGAAGGCGTGGTACTGTACGCAGAATCTATTGATCACTCAGCCTGGATCCTGATTGCGGTTCGTGATGGAAAGTTTGAAGTTCAGCTTAAGAACGAACAGACATCCAAAATCACAACTGGAGGTGGCATTATTAATAACGGTGTGTGGCATACGGTACGTTTGCAGATTTCATCAATCTCTTTCTGCTATGATGCAGTTTGTATAAAATCATAATTTATTTTTATAGTGATACCAAACCAAAATGGGTTTGGAGTTATCTGATGCTATATGAAGTACATTCTGTACACTGTAATTCCCTGAAACAGCCTAAGAAATAAGATTCTCACTTAATACATTAGAATTTATCATAACTAAAATGGTTGTTTTTAGTTATTTGCTTGAACTACCCTGTCTTTAACTTTTTACCTTTTAAATGATAGTAACTTTTTTTACCTTATTTAACTTTTTACCTTTTTTAGTGGCTGTTTGGTGAACCATGGTGTTAGGGATTATTAGGTGACCTAACAGTTTTTTTGTTGTTGTTAGGTTTTTTTTGTTGTTGTTGTTGTTTGTTTTTTTGACAGAGTCTCACTCTGTCACTTAGGCTGGAGTGTGGTGGCATGATCTTGGCTCACTGCAACCTCCGCCTCCTGGGTTCAAGTGATTCTTGTGCGTCAGCCTTCTGAGTAGCTGGGATTACGGGTGTACAGCACACCTGGGTAATTTTTATAAATTTAGTAGAGACAGGGTTTTACCCTGGCCTCAAGCTATCCACCCACTTTGGCCTCCCAAAGTGCTGAGATTACAAACCTGCGCCACCGCACTTGGGTGCCATAACAATTTATATAATTCACCACTGATCAAAGAAAACTCTCCTCAATTGCCATTAATATTTTTTTAATTAAGGAGAAATAAACATAGTAACAAATTCAAAAAGGTAATTCAAACATAAGCATATAGATAAGTAATCCTCTTTTTAAAAAAATAGGCACAGTGTCTTGCTATGTTGCTCAAGCTGATCTTGAACTCAAGGAATCCTCCTCCCACCTTGGCTTCCCAAAGTGCTGGGATTACAGGCATGAGCCATCATGCCAGACTTCGTAATCAATTTTTGTGCAAAAAATATACAGTAGCAGATACCAGTGCGCTTAGAAATTAGCATTTTAGGCCAGGTGCATTGGCTCACGCCTGTAATCCCAGCACTTTGGGAGGCTGAGGCAGGTGAATCACCTGAGGTCAGTAGTTCAAGAGCAGCCTGGCCAACACGGCGAAACCGCATCTCTACTAAAAATACAAAAATTAGCCGGGAGTGGTGGTGCACTCCTGTAATCTCAGTGACTTGGGAGGCTGAGGCAGGAGAATCACTTGAAGCCTGGAGGCGCAGGTTGCAGTGAGCTGAGGTTGTACCACTGCACTCCAGCCTGGGCAACAGAGCAAGATTCAAAAAAAAAAAAAAAGAAAGAAAAAATAAATTAGCATTTTAATTTAATATTAATATAGCCTTTATTCTAGTGATCAAGAACAACCGGATTAAAATGGGATTTTCCTGAAGGGATTACTGCTAGTTGGCAGTGGGGAGAAGTCTTTTCTGAAGTATAGAGTCATTGCTGTCATCAGCAAAGGATAGCTGAGAGAAGATTGGCTTCACCTTAGAATGCGGTGCGCAGAAGAGACATCTTTTATGCCTGGAGGAGCTGCAAGAAGTTTGTGTCGATCTCGATTTATTTATGCTATTTATCTATTTATCATTATTGTTATTATTATTTTGAGACAGAGTCTTCCTCTGTCACCCAGGCTGGAATACAGTGGCACATTCTCAGCTCACTGCAACCTCCACCTCCTGGGTTCAAGCAATTCTCCTGTCTCAGCCTCTCAAGTAGCTGGGCCTAGAGGTGCTGATGCCATGCCTGGCTAGTTTTTGTATTTTTAGTAGACAATAGGTTTCACCATGTTGGCCAGGCTGGTCCTGAACTTCTGACCTCAGGTGATCTGCTCTTCTCAGCTTCCCAAAGTGCAGGGATTACAGGTGTGAGTCACTGAACCCAGCCAAGAAGTTTGTGTTGAGAAGCCATGTGAGGTCACCACTAAATTATTTTAGTCTTTCAATTATTCAGACATGCACTCATTTATTCAATAAGCTTTCAGTGAGTGCTTTTGCTGTTAAGTTCCTGAGTTCAAGGCATTAGAACAATAGCAAGAGATTTTCCTTGCTCTAGAGCTTAGTACCTCACAGATAAGTAGCTGATGCTTCTTTGGGAAATAATATACTGTAACATGAAGTATGTTACATTAGAGGTATGAACAAAGCACACTTGGGCAAAGATGTGGCGACTTTACAAATTATTACTTCTTATCTTTGATTATGGGTCTAATATTAATAGGAATTTAAATTGTAAATGTATCATAGTTTGTTCAGCAAAATATTTATTGAGCACTTCTGTGTGCTAATCCTTATTCGTGGTGGTAAAGATACAACAGCGAATAAAACAAAGTCAGTGCTTTTACAGAGCTTGCATTCTAGTGGTGAGATGCGAACAACAAATGCATGAAAAAATAAATATGCCAGAGAGTTATTCATGTTATAAGAAAAAAGAAAAGCCAGGCAAGGACATAGAGAGTGATGATAGTACGCACATAGAATTGGGAAGGCCATCACTGATGAGATTAGATCTGAACTGAGACTTGAGAGCACGTGCCATGAGAAATACATGAGGGAATATAAAACAATTCTGCAGCATGTGAACAGCAAAAACAGAATTTCTTGGAGGAGGATGTGTTTGGTATTCGAGGAATAACACAAAGCATAGTGTAGCAGCAGGAGGGGAGTTGATAGAAAATGAGGTTAGAGGTCGGGCACAGTGGCTCACGCCTGTAATCCCAGCACTTTGGAAGGCCAAGGCAGGCTAATCACGAGGTTAGGAGTTCGAGACCAGCCTGTCCAACATGGTAAAACCCCATCTCTACTGAAAAAATACAAAAAAAAAAAAAAAAAAAAATTAGCTGGGTGTGGTGTTGGGCGCCTGTAGTCCCAGCTACTCAGGAGGTTGAGGCAGGAGAATTTCTTGAATCCGGGAGGTGGAGGTTGCAGTGAGCCATTGCACCACTGCACTCCATCCTGGGGGACAATGCAAGACTCTGTCTCAAAAAAAAAAAAAAAAAAAGAAAAAGAAAAGAAAAGAAAATGAAGTTATTAAGCGTGGTCTGGAATGAGATCATCTAGGGCCTTGGGCGCCATGAAGAGGGTGTGGATTTTATGCTAAATGGAAAGGCCCTGGGTGATTTTGAGAAGGGACATGATCTAATTTGCAATTAAAAATATAATCACGATCAGAAGCTGTTGGCTTTGTGGAAAGCAGATAGTGGAGAATGAGAGGAGAACATGATATGGAGCGAGGAGACTATTGCAATAACCCAGTGGAGGGAACATGGCAGCTCTGACTGACTGCTGATGGTAAGGGTAGTGAGAAGTTGTCAGATTCTGGATATGTTTTTAAAGTTAAGCCTTCAATTCAAATTTTTGAATACTCAGCATAAAAAAGGGTTTTAAGGCCATGAAACTGGTTGTGTTGACCAGTGGTTTCAAATACTGTCTCATCCAATGTCTGGAAATATATAATGCTCCTTTACTGTTCTGTAATGAAATGTATCAATAATGTAAACTACCTTCATGTATACCCAGTTGAAACCAACATAATGCTCTCATTATTACATTCATATCAATAAAAAAAAGGAAAGGAATTTATAAGAAAATAATACGTATTTCAGTATGTAAGTACTCAACTATAACCACAATACTTGTCACAGCTTGCTTCTATACATAGACTAAAAAAGCTGCAAATGAAGATTAACACTGGGGTGTTATATTAGCAACTCAAATACCATTAAGTGCATAAATGGTGTTGCCACTGGTAATATTAATTTTCCGAAGTGGTGAGAAGTTCCTGGTGAAGATATGAACAAAATAAATATCAATCTATGTTTAGTTTTCAAGATTATTACATTCTTGAAAAACTTAATGAATGCTAAAGTAGTGCAGCAAACATTTTGTGTATATGTATCTACAAACTCGGATAATGGTAAGCACGAATAGTCCCGACATGAATCCCTAGCAGGGATGTTCAGAAGATTTTAAGAATACTTGATATTTTATTATTAGTTATGCATGATGAGCTTATGTACATAACGCAGATTGTCTATCATCTTGCAATGCCAGCATGGCCCCTACTCAATGTGACAAGTTAAAGTGCTCTGCACCTCCAAACTTTCCAAATGCCCTGGAGTGGAGTCATGGTGTCCCACTTAAAATACTTGCATGGCTACAGGAAAAAGGTCTGCGCCCTGAGCCGTGGGGAGGGGAGGATCTAGCAAAGGAGACTGAGAAGTAGTGGTTAGAGTGCCGAAAGAGAAGCAAGCAGGGTCAGGTCTTGGAGGCCAAGTTAAGAAAGCCTGTGAAGAAGGGAATCGTTGTTCAAATGCTGCTGATTGGCTGTATTAAAAAAGGAGTGTTGACAAGCTTTAAATCTGTGTTACTAAATTTATTTTATGTTGGAGGGTAGTTTTCCCCCCCATAACGGTGTTTTAATATGCTTATTGTCTGGCTCCTATTATTGGTTAGTAAGTGAAGAGTTTGCACTTTGAGTGCTGTAGTTTTACATGAAGGATGCAGCAGTGGTTCTTCAGATTGCTTTTGTGGGAGGAATTTTGATTGTTCTTTACCCTTACTTGAAAAGTTTCCTCTTTCTTTCTTTTTTTTTTCTGAGACGGAGTTTTGCTCTTGTTGCTCAGGATGGAGTGCAGTGGCGTGATCTCGGCTCACCGCAACCTCCGCCTCCTGGGTTCAAGCAATTCTCCTGCCTCAGCCTCCTGAGTAGCTGGGATTACAGGCACGCGACACTGTGCCCAACTAATTTTTGTATTTTTAGTGGAGACGGGGTTTCACCTTGTTGACCAGGATGGTCTCAATCTCTTGACCTCATGATCCACCCGCCTTGGCCTCCCAAAGTGCTGGGATTGTAGGAGTGAGCCACCGCACCCGGCCTATTTGAAACCTTTTCTAAGAAACCCAGACTACTCTCAAAATTGGAAAACTCCAATTTAATTTTATGTAGTTTTTTCATACTACCTCAATCACTTTTTAATTTTAAAGGAAAAATAATTTGTGGGCAATTAACAGAATACTGGACATACTGATTTTTCTTCCTGTATATTAAGAACTTATTTACATGATTGACTCCATATGTGTATTATCAGACAATTGCAAAATAAGACCACTTAAAATTTTCCTAAGATGAATGGCTCACTTAACTGCTAATTTTCTAGCAGCCTGTGATTGAAAGATATATAATTAGATGTTTAAGTTTAACAGAATAGTTTTTTTTAACTTTAAAATATGGTATGCTTTTAATTTTTGATCAAGTGCTTTCACCCTAAATGCTTTTTTATCACACTTACTATAATTCGACATTCCAAATAAGTTGTAACAAATTAATAATTACATTACAATGATTACAAAAGTATTTTATTGGAATAATAACAGAATTTTTAGATTTCAGTGTTTCAAATGGCATGTAGTAAAGCTTGGTTATTTGGTAATTTTTCTTTTTTAATTGTAGGTGTCTGTGGAAGAATTAGAACATAGTGTTAGCCTTAAAATAGCTAAAGAAGCTGTGATGAATATAAATAAACTTGGACCCCTTTTTAAGCCTGAACATGGATTTCTGGAAACCAAAGTATACTTTGCAGGATTCCCTCGGAAGGTGGAAAGTCAATTCATTAAACCGGTAATGATCCAAGCTTCTGTCATTCATCAAGGATGAATTCCTTTTGTCTGTAAAATATTTGAAGATGTGTTTTTCTGAGAGTCAATAGAAGTTGTTTTGTTAAGCATACTAAATGTTACAACTTGAAATGATCATGGAAAAATAACATTAGTGAACCTTGAAATTATATTAATGAAAGAAGAAAATGATGTGGTAGTTTTGTGTTCATTTAAATCCCCAGCATAAATCATGAAGTGGACTTCTAAAATTCTCAAGTTAACCCCTGAGAATGTTAACACTGCAGTTCAGTATTAACATCATGATAATGCACTCTCAGTCTTTAAACATATACATTCACATGTTTAAGTCCAAAATTACGCTATTTTGTAGAAGCCAGTCAAAGGACTTTCTCCAGTTTATTTTTAGGACTTATATTCGAGAGCTAAAGCATAGCACATAAGGTGGAAATTATTATTAAAAAAATACCTCTTTACTGAGGGTACAATTATAGGCTGTCGTAAACCGAAATCAGATTTAGTAGCTATTTTTCTAAATATGGTATTTGTTTAATAAATATAGAATAGGTTTTACGAAAGAGACTAACCACTGCCTTCAAAGAGTTTTAAAAATTTCATTTTAAAAACCGACATCGCAGACCTGCCAGATATACTTGCTGATTTAATTTAAATATTTACTGTCTTATATCCACCTTTCACTCCCAGCAATTTGTAGTTACTGTAACTTTTAAAAGATTTCTATTATATATTAAACTTGAATTAATTAACCCACGTGGACATGGATAGACCTGTTGTTTGAAACTTAGAAATTAAGACACATTAAAATTAAAATAAATTATTCAAAAAGTATCAGTCATTTATTAAATGGCTTTTACATGTCTTGAGCCTGGCGGGATGCTTGATGGAGGCTAAAGAATGCAAACACTTTTCTGGCTGAGGAGACTTAGAGTCTGATTGGCAAGACTAACCCATATTGTAAATGCCATTAAAGAAAAACAAGGCTGGGGGTGGTGGCTTATGCCTTTAATACCAGCACTTTGGGAGGCCAAGGCGGGCAGATCACCTGAGGTCGGGAGTTCAAGACCAGCCTGGCTAACATGGCAAAACCTGTTCTCTACTGAAAGTACAAAAATTAGCTGGATGTGGTGGTGGGCCTATAATCTCAGCTAATCAAGAGGCTGAGGCAGAAGAATCGCTTGAACTTGGTTGGCAGAGGTTGCAGTGAGCTGAGATCGCACCACTGCACTTCAGCCTGGGCAACAAGAGTGAAACTCCATGTCAAAAAAAAAGGAAAGAAAGAAAAGAAAAGAAAAGAAAAAGAAGATGGCTTAGAGCCCAGGGCCACAGCTAGAAGCAAATACAGAACTTGAGAGAAGAAAAGTTAACACTGGATGATGTAGGAGAGGCAGGTGGAGCTTAAAGTGGTAAAAATCGTTACGATCCCATTGAGGGCTTGTGATGGTGTAAGCTTGCTTGTACTGAAGAAGACTGTCCATCTGAAGAATACTTTGAAAACAAAAACTTAAATAAAATACAAACTATTTTAAACTATTATCAAATAAAGCACTTTTTTTTCTCTAAATGAAAGTCTACATTCATAATTGAGCCACTTGTTTAAGTTTAAAATGCACTCCTTGACCTGTGTTTTAATTTGTTAGATTAACCCTCGTCTAGATGGATGTATACGAGGCTGGAATTTGATGAAGCAAGGAGCTTCAGGAGTAAGGGAAATTATTCAAGAAAAACAAAATAAGCATTGCCTGGTTACTGTGGAGAAGGGGTCCTACTATCCTGGTTCTGGAATTGCTAAATTTATCATAGATTATAGTAAGTGACTTTCCATTTATTTTTATTTTCTCATTAATGAATAATTAATTTATTCATCAACAAACAGTAATAATTTTTTTGCTGAACGTTATCTACTGTATGCCCACTGTAGTCTTATGCTTATTCATACTATTATATGTCTTTTACAAAAATGTTTCAGTATATTGAGAAAAATATAAAGGCAATGTGCTTATGTTGTTATTTCAGGTTTATTGGTACATAGCCTGATTCCCTTTGGGTAAATTCAATTGACCTACTTTAAAGTTCACTGATTTCTTACTTGTCTGGAGTCTACCAATGAATGCATCAAAAAGATTCATCTTCATTTCTAGCATTTCCATTTGATGCTTTCTTACAATTTCTACCTCTCTGTTGAAATTCCCTGCTGTTCACATTTGTCTAGCTTATGTACTGAGCTTTCAACATCTTCATCATAATTACTTTGAATTCCCTGTCTGACAGTTCCGGCTGTCTTATATCTGGGTCTGCTCATTTTGTTTGCTTTGTCCCTTGACCAAATGTGGCTTTTCTTTGCATCTCTGTGTATCACACAATTTTTGGTTTAGAGGTGGGCATCTTATGCATAACAGTAGAGACTGGGATAAAGAATATTTGTGTCTGGAAATGAGCACACTTCTTTTGCTAGGCTCTTAGTGATGGGATTGAATCAATCTAGTGAGGAGTTGAGCTGCTTGTTTTTTTTTGTTGCCAGGATTGCCCTAATGCACCACAGGTTTCAAATTTTTTAAATATTACCTTCTGCGTAGAATAAGGGAATGTTTTGCTAGCAAGTTGTTTTTCTCCCTCCCTCCCTCCCTCCTCCGTCCCTCCCTCCCTCCCTCCTTCCCCCTGCCTTCCTTCCTTCCTTCGTTCCTTCCTTCCTTCTTTTTTGAGACAGAGTCTCATTCTGTCACTCAGGCTGGAGTACAGTGGCACAATCTCAGCTCACTGCAATCTCTGCCTCCCATGTTCAAGTGATTCTCAGGCCTCAGCTTCCCGAGTAGCTGGAATTACAAGGGTGCCCGGCTAAGTTTTATATTTTTAGTAGAGACAGGGTTTCGCCATGTTGGCCAGCTGGCCTCGAATGCCTAACCTCAGGTGATCTCCCTGCCTTAGCTTCCTAAAGTGCTGGGATTTCAGGCTTGAGTCACTGCGTCTGACCTAGAGAGTTTTCCTTAATAGCTGATCAACTACTAAGTTTTTCATCATAGAAGCTCAATTTTAGGCATTCCCTCATAATATGCCTCAAGAAAGTATCTCTACCACTCTCAAGCGCCTTGCCCATCCCCAGCAGAGTGCGCTTGTTACTTGACGTTTGTTAACATGGTGGAGCAGACCTGGTGTTTGGGGAAGCATTCTATGTTGTTCTGGTACAAATTCAATCTTAGGCAGGTGTTGTATCCCTGGGTCTCAGAAGTGTGGAATTTTCGCTGTTCCTCTTCCCTGACTCTAACCAGTAGGGGAGATGTCTAATGATCAGGACTCAGGATGTTTTCCTGCTCCTTCTCCATGATCTACAGCTTTTTTTTTTTTCCTAATCTGTAGTTGCAGTGAGTCTTCACATGTGTCCTAATGACCACACTTGTTGCCTTTTTCCTGGCTTCAGGACTTGTGTTGTGTAGAGGAAACCAAGAAGAATCTGGATGGGGCTTTGTGCCTCTCCTGCAGTTGATGCTGCTGTCAGGACTGCATTAAGAGAGAGGCTTTCTGGGGTCTCATTCCCTGCAGTCTGTTGTCTCCTGAGCACACAGTAAGGTCTGTGGAGAAGAGCCTGTGAATCAGCATGAATTTTCTTTGTCTCTGCAGTTTCTAGGGTTTCTTTTCTTTTCTTTTTTTTTTTTTTTTTTTTGAGACAGAGTCTTGCTTCATCGCCAGGCATCAGGCTGGAGTGCAATGGCGCGATCTCAGCTAACTGCAACCTCCACCTCCCCTCCCGGGTTCAAGCAATTCTCCTGCCTCAGCCTCCCGAGTAGTTAGGACTACAGGCGCGCACCACTATGTCCAGCTAATTTTTGTATTTTTAGTAGAGACGGGGTTTCACCATGTTGGTCAGGATGGTTTCCATCTCTGGACCTCGTGATCTGCCCACCTCGGTCTCCCAAAGTGCTGGGATTACCGGCATGAGCCACCGCGCCCAGCTAGTTTCCAGGGTTTCTAAACTCTTACATCAGCCCCCACATGGACTTCAGAAAATTGTTTAAATCTTTACCTAAATTATTTTTACCAAATAGCATGGCATCCCCTGTGTACCCTGAGTTAGAAAGCGTTCTCATTCCGGCTCTCCTTGGAAACACCTGTCTTTCTTTAGGTTTCTGGTTAGTTGGTTGCTCTGCAACCTCAGCTCTTTGATAGTTCCAAGAAAAGCTGTGATTATGCAGGTAATTTGGCGTTTGTTGTTGTTCTAAGGGTGAGGGTAGTGCTCTTTCCAATTTTCTGCAGCCTAAGTAGAGCAGGGAATCTTGCCATACTGACCCTAGATTTTTAACCTTGTAAATAATACTTCTGTGAACATCCTAAAACATACATCCTTCTACCTTTATGTGATTGATTATATGGAAGAATATTTTAGGATTAGATTATCTCTATCAAAGGTTATGTTGCCCAGGTCAGTTTTCAAACTACTGGCCTCAAGTGATCCTCCTGCCTCAGCCTCCCAAAGTGCTGGTATTATGTGCATGAGCCACTGTACTCAGCCTTTTTTACTACCTTTTTAAGGACAAATTTTACACTAATGATTTATCTTTTTCTAACATAAATTAATACAATTCCTAGCTCTGTTCTGCATATGAAGGATTGTTTTTTAAAAAGTTATAAATGAGGATTAAATTAGGGTAAAACTAAACCCACAATGATTTGGCCAAAGGAAAAAAATCCTAAAAAGGTAATGAAAATTAGAGTTATATTGTACCTAAAAAATTACCTAATAAGTAATTAACCATTTCATGGATAATTTGTAATTAATATTTAATGTTACATTTTGACTTCTATACATTTGCATGTTAATTTTAGTTTGAGTTTGTTAATATTCTCTGTTAAATTTACTTATTTCAAGATAAATGTTTAGGTGATAGAAATTCCAGTTACTTTGATTTGAGCATTACACCTATATGCATATATCAAATAACATATGTATCCCAATATGTGTACAATTATGATATATCAATTAAAAATTACTTATTTCACAATGATTACATATACACATTTTTTTTTTTTTTTTTTTGAGACAGAGTCTCGCTCTTTTTCACAGGCTGGAGTGCAGTGGCATGATCTCAGCTCACTGCAACCTCTGCCTTCCAAGTTCAAGCGATTCTCCTGCCTCAAGACTCCCAAGTAGCTGGGACTACAGATACACACAACCATGCTCAGCTAATTTTTGTATTTTTTTTTTATTTTTTAGTAGAGATGTTTTGCCATGTTGGCTAGGCTGGTCTTGAACTCCTGAACTCAGGGAATCTCAAAATGCTATGGTTACAGGCATGTGCCACTGCGCTTTTTCTATATATTTTTTTTCTTCTGGGTGGGAATTACAGGATTATAATGAAAAACATAGTGGCATTATGTGTGGCTAAATAGAAGCACATCTTGTCAAAGGAAAATGATTTTCCTTACTCACATGTACCCTTTTAAGGACTCCAGATGGTACTTGGGCTTTGCTATATGTTACATCATATTAAATGAGGATGACTTCATTCAGATTATGAACTAATGTTTTTAGAAATCCATCTACTCCGGAAACATTAATTTAGCAAATATCTATTGAGTGACTACTGTGGAAAACAAAGCGATGATAGAGACATATACCTCCTAGAGCTTGTGCTTTAGTGGGATAGACAATTAACCTAGTAATTAAGAAGAGAATGTAAAGGATTATGACAGGAGAATCACAAAACAAAGGTTCCCATTCTGATGTCAAAACCAAATGCTGATGTCAGTGTATTTCTCTAGTATCAAACTATCCAACTCTGCTATGTATAGATCCTATTTATCCTTTGGTGTGATGATGGCAACTGTACCCAGATTTTCCAAAAATTATTACAGTAAATTTGTTGAACTTTCAAATGTGTGCTTTAAAATATAACCACTCTGCGATTTGAGCATTGGTGAATGTGCAAGGGAGAAGGAAGCGCTGTTAAAGAGCAAACAAGGAAAATCTGTAATCATCCTTAAACACCACAGTCCAGAAGTCTCTTCTAGGAAGAACAGGAAGATGGGACTCCACTATTTCTTGCCTGCCTAAAAAAACAAAAAAAGCTTTTGTTTTGTTTTGCTTAGGTTATATAGATCATTGAGAAAGGGAACGAAAATGTTTAGTATTACACAAGATGGTTTTGAATATTACCAGGATTCTACTAATAATAATTCCTTCCGGTGCACTTCAGGAACGCAGTGATCACTCTCTGTTTCATTCTTTTACCTAGATAATGCCTCCAATGCTGAGGGTTGGTATGTAAATGTGTCTTTGAATATCCGTCCGTCCACGGGCACCGGTGTCATGCTTGCCTTGGTTTCTCGTAACAACACCGTGCCCTTTGCTGTGTCCTTGGTGGACTCCACCTCTGAAAAATTACAGGTAACTTTACTCTAAACCTATATGAGCCTTGCTTTTCTTTTCCTTTAAAAAAATGGATATAATAGCAGTATTTACCTCAAAGGACTACTTTGAAGATTAAATAAAGTAACTTATGTAAAGCATTTGGCACAGTCTCCAGCACATCATGAAGGACTCAAAAAAATGTCTATTATTGTTACTTTTTTTTCTGGCATATTTCCAAGGTCTGAATGAAGAAGTAAGGGGAGGGAGAATTGAAAAACCTTCTGCATCTATACCTGAGATTAGGCAGATTCTCACACAGGCTGCCTGGAGCCATCTGAGTACATACAGATCCACCCTTATTCAGAATCTTTGAAGTGTCGTGGGAATTAGTCTGTACTGTCAACATAGAAATTTGTCTAATTACAGTGTGTCAGTTACTCAGTGCCTAATTATAATGTTTTGTTCTTTCTTGCACTCTTAATCTTTTCTCCCATGAATAAGTTAGGAAAAAAAGAGAGAAAGTTAAAACTGGTCCACTTGGATTCTTACTGGCAAATGTTATTTGAAATTAGGAGGAAGAACAGCAAAAAGCCTTAGATGAAAGGAAATATGAGGATTATAAGAAGACCTGTATTATTCAGACTTCTATTAGAGAGTAATAGTTCTGTCTATGTGCCATCCACAGTGGATTCCAACAAGTTACAGCAAGAAACTGATGTTTATGCCAAGGCTGTCTTGGATGGTGTCAGTGGATTTTAACAAGAGACCTATGGTTAAATAATGTCTATTGTAGTAACAAGCGATGCTGTTGATTCAGTGAGGAGGATGGGGAAGTTTCTGGTGGTTAGTCTTAAGTAACCTAAAAATATCTGATGAGGTTTTTTTGTTTGTTTGTTTGAAATCTCCTTTCTATAAGGTGCTTGAGGAGCTTTCTACATTTGGATTTCAGTGGTTTTTTTTTTTTTTGGTTGTTTGTTTTTTGAGACGGAGTTTTGCTCTTGTTACCCAGGCTGGAGTGCAATGGCGCGATCTCGGCTCACTGCAACCTCCACCTCCTGGGTTCAGGCGATTCTCCTGCCTCAGCCTCCTGAGTAGCTGGGATTACAGGCATGTGCCACCATGCCCAGCTGATTTTTTGTATTTTTAGTGGAGACGGGGTTTCACTATGTTGACCAGGATGGTCTCGATCTGCTGACCTTGTGATCCACCCGCCTCGGCCTCCCAAAGTGCTGGGATTATGGGCGTGAGCCACCGCGCCTGGCCCGTTTGCTTGGTTTTTATGTTGAGATGGAGTCTTGCTCTGTCACCAAGGCTGGAGTGCAGTGGCATGATCTCGGCTCACTGCAACCTCCGCCTCCCAGGTTCCAGCCATTCTTGTGTCTCAGCCTCTGGGTAGCTGGGACTACAGGCGACACCACCACACCCAGCTAATTTTTGTGTTTTTGGTAGAGACTGGGTGTCACCATGTTGGCCAGGCTGGTCTTGAACTTCTGACCTTATTATCCACCCACCTCAGCCTCCCAAAGTGCCGGGATTACAGGCGTGAGCACCACTCCTGGCCTGTTCTTTCTGTTTAAACACAGTGGAATTCCCGTCTTCAACACCACTTTCACGCAGTGGAAGAGGTTAACACGTGCCATGTCTTTGATACTCATTTTCTCCTTTCACTGTTTGCCTCCACGGTTCCTTCTTTGCATGTCAGATTTCCTTCTCGAGGTCTATGTGCAATACTTCGTAACAGTATTCCAGATACCACTGATCAGCCTGGAGCATTTCTTTACTGACCAGCTCTCTTCATGAGTTTAAGGATATGGACATGTACAACACAGCAACAGATTTTCTCAAGGAACCTATATTTGCAAAGCATAGTCTTTCACTTAAAATAGATATGTTGGCCACCTAAATAAGCATTTCCGACTGTGTTTTTTGTCATCTGGGACTCGTCATGACTCCTGTCTCCCTAGTTTTGATTTTATTTTCTCTTTCTTACTTTTTACATTTCCTCTATGCCACATAAGCTGCATGAAGACGTAGCTCAACAAGTTGAATAATTTAGGCGTGACAGCACTTTGAAAAGGTCAGCAGAATGAAAACATTTTCTTGCTTGAGAATCTTCTGGTAAATATTCTCTAACTTCCTGCTGGCAATCCCTGGTTTTTCTTTCTTAGGGCCTCTTCACTTACTTTGTCCCAAGTCTATAGGATTGCTGGCGTGGCACAAAGAAACCTTTTAGTCCTGCTGGCATATGCTTACTAAAGCATTTTTGATTTTACAAGTCTTTCTTCAACAATGAGTGATTCAACTGCTTCCTGTTTCATACGTAAACTTGGAAATTAGGAAGGCTTATAAACAGAAAGACATTGCTTAAGACACCACTGTTGGTAACACAACTTTGTTGTTTGACTGAATTTTCAGAAACCAGTATACATGTCTATGTTAGCTAAACTTAGAGCTTGTAAAACTAGTGTGTATTTTAAAATTTAGTCTTATTATAAGTTAGTCTTATGATAATTAGTAATTTTTCACTTAAACTTAGAGGCCCTATCATACATTTTCTTTCCTTATTCAGATTTAGTTTTTGACTTTTAAAAACTGAAAAGTAACTCTTAAGTAGCATTCCTCTTACTCCTTACTTATATGGAATCTTTGCTCCGCTCTTCAGGATATTCTGTTGTCTGTTGAAAAGACTGTTGTGTGTCGGATACAGGCCCTAAGTCTATGTTCCGATCAACAATCTCATCTGGAATTTAAAGTCAACAGACACAATCTGGAGGTGTTAACACCGCTTAAAATGGAAACCATCTCCCATGAAGACCTTCAGAAACAACTTGCCATCTTGGACAAAGCAATGCAAGGAGATGTGGTCACTTACCTGGGTGGCCTTCCAGGTATCTGCTTACTTTTTCTTCAGTTTTAAAAAAGTATATTTCAAATCAAATTGATAATATTTTAAATAGACGATTTTAGTAAAAAAGCATCAGAAGGGACCATAAAATCCAGTATTGAATATTCTTTTTCTAGGGGCTAGTACTGACAGTTTATTGGCACGTTCTTGTTTCCTTTAGTTTTTATCCATTATTTATTTAATATTTATGCATCTACTATTTGGCTCATGTTTCATTTATCCAAATTTTATTAAGACCTTATGTCCCACGTGCTCATGACACAGCAATAAACAAATAAATATGGTCCCTGATGTTAAGGTTTTTATTCTCTAGTGGCAGAGGAAGACATTAAGCAACTAATTAGGAAAATATCCAACTAATTAAAATTGTGATCACTTTTATGAGAGAAAAGTGTGGGTTGCTTTTAGAACCTGAAAATGTGAACGTTTCACCGGTTGTGGGGGCCAGAAACAACCACTCTGGATAACAGACTAAACCATAAACTGTTGTTGAAAAGGTTAAATAAATTCAACCAGGTGTGGGAGTGGGGATTGGAATTATTATGCAAGTAAAATGGTCCATGTGTGGGCCAAGTGGAAGGGATGACACGCTGGAGGAGCCTGGAGGAGGTCAGAATGGTTAAAGCATGTTGAGCAAGGGAGATGGTAGTGTAGAACCAGGCTGTGAACTGGCTGGGTGGATGGATTGCTTGTAGACCTAGTTCAGGGTCCTAAGTCTTATAATGAGAGACATGGAACTATTAAAAAGTTTAGACAAGAAAGAAGTGTAGCCATATTACAATTTTAAAAATCCAGTCTGTATGATGGATGGAGATGGACAGGTGGGAGAGAAAAGTGGGTGTAATTGAGATGATCTGAGAGGCTATTCAGTAATCCAGATGAAAAAGCAGGGGCAATAATTGCAGTGTCTAAACTGCCTTCAACTGTTGCAAAACAAACAGTCTGGACACTGTTCAAAGTGCTTCGAATATATCCACTTGTTTAATTTTCAAAATAGTCCTGTATGGTAAATGCTATTTTTATCCCCATTTTACAGACGAGGAAACTGAGGAAGCTGCAGGACTAGGGTGATAGAAGTGAAGATGACACACGGTGAATAGATTGGGGATATGTGTGAGAAACAAAATTAATAGGATTTAATGACTGAAAGACAGGTATAAGGATGACTCTTAGGTATCTGGAATGAGCAGTTGCATGGATGGAGATTTCATTTACCAAGATGGAGAAAACTGGAGGAAAAGCAGATTTATCTTTAACTGAATATTGGAAATTATGAAATTCGCACCAATATTTCACCTTAAATGGAAAACAGAGGCAGAAGATTCTTTAAAAGCATTTTCAAATGCCGTTGCAGTTTATTCTCATGGGGAGAATTCTGAGTTTGATGTCTGGACCTCTGGTAACCCTTAATTTATTGCTTAAACTGCTCATGGTCTTGATTTCCCATATATGGAAATTGTATCTGGGATTTTGGGAAATAGAAATAAATAGGCTCTAAAAACTATGGGTGGGTAGATAGATAGATAGATAGATAGATGATAGATAGATAGATAGATAGATGATAAAAAGATAGAGTTAAGTAGCGAGCATGTCTAGTTATTAGGGAGCAAAATTATAGTTCAAATGAAGAAATTCTATATTGAAATCTGCCAACTACCTCATCCACAAATTAGTTGAATGCAATTTAGGAAATCAAACCAGCAGTTTAAAAGAAGCAGAATTGTCAGAATTTCAGTGGTCTCAGGTCTTTGGCAACAGCACTGAGGACTAATTTCAGTCAAAATGTCTTGAGAGAAAAAGTGGAAATATTTGAGAGTAGCTAAATATTGAGATATCAAGAGTATAAACCGTGGGATGGGTAAATTATTATATGCAAAATAGGTGTGTTAAATTGCATGTGAAGAATTAAAACTCGAGAAACTGATGATTTTGAGTAATTTTTTTCCTCAAAAAATGAAAAGTGGCATGATCTATGATGTTTAGCCCAACTTGAAAAGGATTCTTAACAAATGCTATGAGCTCATAGTAAAGGATGCTTTAGTCACTGTCTTGGCAAGTTAGAAGTCAAAAATGTCAAGGTTTTTTTTGGTGGGGGGGAGCATGAAGTACTGAAGATGAATTATAAGGACTAAAGAATATCCATTGTGAGTTAAGATTAATGGAGAGGAGGGGCCAAAAAATGAGGACGCAAGTAGATAAATGGGTGGGGTTTTGTTTCCCTCTCTCTCTCTCTTTTTTTTTTTAAAGACTAGTCAAGTGAAGCAGTGCAGTGGGGAAGGAACAAAGAAATCTGGAACTGGTTGTGATCAGTTAGTTGTAAACACCACTGCACTCGGACCACCAAATGAGTGATTTTAAAATGAGTCACAGTTCTTAGGAATCAAAGGGTGTTACTAAATATTAAGTTTGATAAAGAAGGGGTAGAAAGGTCCAGAGGCCCTAAAATGACCCTATATTTTTGCTGAGGAGTTAATAAAAGTGTTATTTTTAAGAACTCCAAATATTATATCAAAGTGTATCCTCTATCATGATCTATTGTATGTTCAACCAAAAACTATTTATTTGGAAAAATACAGAAATCTGCTCTTATTCCAACAATAATAAAAGAGACATATTGATCATGGCATTTAAAAGAGATTTCCAAGTAGCTTTAATTTGGAGTTGAAAAAAAATGATTAACATTCTTAAACGGTTCCTCAAATTTAAAGAGAAAATATGTTATTTGTATAATAAAAATATTATATCACAAGAATATGCTTGTTTCTACTCTTCCTCAGATGCGTTTAAGTTTAAATGAAACTAATTGTGTTTATGAAATCAGAGGAACTCATGACATGCTGAATACAATGAAGTACAAGAACATGGATATCAGAGTCAATGTCTATTTACTGAATAGAATTTCATTATTAACATTTTCTTTAGGATTAGAATTTGGTTGGAAGTCTGAATGACTCCTCTCATTGTAAACAAATAAGATGCTAAAAGTCTTGGACTAACAGTCTAATATTCTGCTTTTACAGATGTTCCATTCAGTGCCACACCAGTGAATGCCTTTTATAATGGCTGCATGGAGGTGAATATTAATGGTGTTCTGTTGGATCTGGATGAAGCCATTTCTAAACATAATGACATTAGAGCTCACTCATGTCCATCAGTTTGGAAAAAGACAAAGAGTTCTTAAGGCATCTTTTCTCTTCTGATAATACCTTTTTCTTGTGTGTAATTATATGTATGTTTCAATAACAGCTGAAGGGTTTTATCTACAATGTGCAGTTTTTGATTATTTTGTGGTTCTTTCGTGGGATTTTTGAAAGGTCCTTTGTCAAGGAAAAAGATTCTGTTGTGATATAAATCACAGTAAAAAAAAAAAATTCTTACTTCTCTTACTGTCTAGAAATAGTGAAACAACAATTTTAAATTTGAATTTTTTCCTACAAATGACAGTTTCAATTTTTGTTTGTAAAACTAAATTTTAATTTTATCATCATGAACTAGTGTTTAAATATCTATTTTCTTCAGAAGGCAAAGAAGTAAACTCAAACAAAAGTGCATGTAATTAAATATTATTGACGATAGGTAGATGCTATTTGGGTTTTTTTTTTATGAGGAAGTCAGGAAGAGATGGTGGCCTATTAAATATGAATTGAGTGGAGGGTCTTAATGCCTTATTTCAAAACAGTTTCTCAGAGGACTAGCTTTGGCTTCATCTTTCTCTTGGGTGGCTTCACATTTAAACCAGTATCTTTATTGAATCAGAAAACAAGTGGGACAACTTTTCCTGAGAGCAGCACAGGAATCTTGCTTCCTGGGAATTGCAGTCTGTTGGGATGAGACATCAGATTATGTTGGATAGGTGTGGAAATCCGAAATGGGTACATTTCTTAAATTTGGCTGTGTGGGTCACAGAAGAGCTACATTAGAAAAGACAGAATTTAGGGACGGAAAGGAGAATGAGCATAATTGGGAGTTTATAGTTTTCCTTGAATCTAACTTTTAATTGCCAAAGTTGCCAAAATGTGATTGTTGAAGTACAAAAGGAAGTATGAAACCAGAATAAATTTTAACAAAGGAATAAACCACAGAGGGATATAGTGAATATTGTGTCTTTGTAATCAAAGAAGTAAGGAGGTAAGCTTGCCACCTGCCTGCTCATACTGTGATGCATTTCAAGTGGTAGTTTTATCACATTCAAATCTGCTATTCACAGCTGGGTGTATATCAGATGTTTCACTGACAGTTTTCAAAGATAAATTCTTTTCACTATATTTTATATCACTTATAATAAATTGGTATATAATTTAAAAATGCATGTGAATATCTTTATTATATCAACTGTTTGAACAAAACATAAAATTACATAATAGACATGTAACTCTTCATACGACAAAGTAGTTCTTCAGGTAAAAGACAGATCAAGCTCAAATATTTGAATAATAGCTATGGGTTGGGTGGTAGACTGGAACTCAGAAGATGAAGAGAAGCAAAAGTAACATGTGACACATCCCAGAAATTGTCTTGCTGGATGTAATTTTTCTCCCAATTGTCACCAGGTACTATGGGGGATACTCACACATGGCTCAGAGAGAGTCTAGACCTATGGCTAAGAACCTTTGATTGATGTTTAATTTTCAACATTGCCAAGGAATATAGATTCCTACTTTTAAAGATTTGGGGGAGTACAGTAGTTTTATGAAGGCAAAGTGGATATTTGGTGTCATTTCAGCTCTGTGTAATGAAAAAAATCCAAATAACAGAGCCATTACAGAGTCCCTTAGACCTCACCTTTTGAAAAAGTTATCTTTTTTCTTTTTACTTTTTGAACATGTTATGTGACACGGTAATAGAACTTACCATTTGCAGTGGCCAGTGATGGATCAGTAAAAGCAATGGTTAATCTGTAAGAAAAGGACTATTCACCTCATTTCTTCTGTCTGAAAGTATAAGTCCAGTCTCAGTCCCTATATGTCAGTATAATTAATTATTTCCAATTTTCTTTTCATTCCAGAATTAAGGAACTCATGGGATTACTAGAAAAAGGACTTCTTCATGTGAAAAATTTTGTTTTTTCACAAAATGATTGCCTATTTATTTTTGCATTTCCCTAGACCGTTAGCTACTGGCATCAGTGGGAAATCTGATCTGAAATAATTTTATTTCAGATTTCATCATGTTGCTATTAATATTGATTCGGGAGATGACAGAGTCACTAGAGACTCAAAAGACAAGTATGATCAATTTCTAATTTATTCATTCAGCAACAAATATTTATCAAGCACCTACTCTGCTCTGTGCATGTGGAGTCAAAAGTAGTAGAATGTCCGAGGGCTGAACCCAATGGAATAGGAAGTCACAGTACTCAAGCTGGCCCTTGGTAGCTCCTTGGAGCTTCAAAGCAGCTCTTTTCTCGTCATCCTAAGAAATTGAAGTGATAAAACTTTTGGTCATTGCTCCTATGTCAGAGTCGTTTGCTCCTTATGAACAAGATTGCTTTGACAGTGGTCTTGGACATGAGTTTCTTGCTACAGCAAGCTTTGAGTTTTCAGAGAACTTATATATGAAAATTGGATCTTCTATGGTAGAGACGTTGCTTAGGGGTTCATCTAGTGCTGTACAAGATAACCTCTGACTATCTTGTGTTTGTGTTTGCAGAATGTGAATGTGAGGGGCAGTTATCTGGGCCAGAATACATGGGTTTGCGATATATAATCTTAATAATATAAACAGTGCAAGGCCAGATTATGAGGTCAAACTGACAATGGGAAAAGACTGAACCAAGATATGAAGCTAAGAGTGTCAGAAATAGAGGTGAACTGAGTATGGGGAGGTTTGGAACAAGTAGCAAACCAGTGAGGTTGGGGGGTATTTCCTGATCCATTACTCTGTCATGCTTTGGACGTGCCATGGTATAGCAGTTGTCTTTTTTTTTTTTTTTTTTTAAGACAGAGTCTCACTCTGTCACCAGGCGCCAGGCTGGAGTGCAGTGGTGTGATCTCGGCTCACTGCAACCTCCGCTTCCCGGGTTCAAGCAATTCTCCTGCCTCAGCTTCCCAAGTAGCTGGGATTACAGGTACACGCCACCACTCCCAGCTAATTTTTTTGTATTTTTAGTAAAGACGGGGTTTCACTATGCTGTCTTACTTGTGGATAAGAATGGCATTTCATGAATTTACAGACTGATTTATGCTAACCTACTTGCCATAACAAGCCCTCCCCAAAGAGTATCCTATTTTCATGAGAAATAAATTGTAAAGTAATATCTGCAATTTGCTAGTGATCGATTCTCTTTCCTGCTCAAGTTTCAAACTGTGAAATCTGGAATCTCATTCTATAACTGGGAAGAACCACTTGATACATCAAATTCTTCCTCAATTTGATTTGAACAGAAGAGAGAGTGGGCTTTTTTTAACTGACATAGGAAGAATCTGACATTATTATCTGGAGGTCCCAAATAATAAATACTAAAAAATTAAATAAAGCCAAATTGAACACTCGGGCTGATACTGGAGCTTCCGAAGATGAGCATCTTCCTGAGCCAACTCAGCATGTACAGAGTGGCCACAGAGGGCTAACAGCTGGGTGATGTGAAAAATACACATGGTCTTAGTCTGCCTTGAACATGTAGCCAGCAAGCTGCAAAGAACCAGGATGTCCGGGCCGAGTCCATGCCCCATTTTGAAACGACACTATTCCCATATTCTTCCTAGTTATCCCAGCACTTAGTAAATGGTATATAATTGGAATGAACAATTCCAACAAATCTAACAATTGATTGGATAGAAATAATTCTATCTCCAGCTGCACATATAACTGGCTGTGTGGTTAAGTCTCGGTTAATATTATCACTTTAAGATTTTGAAGATTATATTATTTAATTGAGTTAGGCAAATGCTAACACTGACTCTGAACACTTAGGTGGATTAGAAGTGCGGGCTAGAAACAGTCCCGAGAAGACCATGGAGCAAATATCTTGGCACTGCTGTCAACATGCTCAGTCCGGGGGGCAGCGGACACGCGGACAGATGGTTAAAAAATGAGCCTGAGTTTGGTAAAGACTGAAATGCAGAAATAAACATTTTCAGGGGGGATCTGGGGAAGGAGAAATGGATTCTAAACAGGAGCTCAGTGAGGTGCTATTTAAACGAGGCCCAAAAAGACGGACATGAATTTCTGTTCTCTTCCCTGCATCCAAGTCCTGTCTTTGTGATTGTCCCCCACAGGGCTTGCAGATTCTGTCTCTCACACAGATATTTGATTTTACTGTAGTCCTCAAAAATCTCTTTTCTTTTCCTTTTCACCTTATTGCATGAGGCGAAAATAATTAACCTTGGTTTTCAAGGGGGTTTCGTCGTTTAACCGGTAGATCTAAACCCAGGCTTCTCATTAGATTCATTGGCCCCTTTGCAGACAACTTGATCAGAAGATTCTCATGGAAACCAGGGTTACAAACCACAGATTCCATCTCTGTGGGTAGCTCTCTAACCTCAGACACTTCTCTCCCTGCCCCTCCTGTCTTCTGTACACATGAGGGGTGTGCACACATGATGTGCGCGCACACACACACACACACACACACACGTGAACAGACATAAAGCCAAAGAATGAGTTAAAAAATGGGACAGGAGAAAGAAGGATAGGGAGGGGCAGGTGTGTGTGTGTGTGTGTGTGTGTGTGTGTTTGAGAACAAAACCAAGAGGAGAGAAAAAGACAACAAAGAGAAAACAAGAAAGGTATATGAAAACAGATTCAGTGAAAGGTTTGGTAAGATAAAATTGAGAATGAGGGAAAGAGAAATAAAGAATATAGAAAGATACTTGATGAGGAGGGTGAAGAGGAGATGGAGAAATAATAGAAAAATAAATGAATTATCTACTTTTTGGTAAACAAATAGGAGTAGAGAGTGATAAGTCGATGCCACAGAGAGAGATTAAAGAGAGACAGAGATAGTGAAGTAGAGATAGAAATTAAAAAGAAGAGCCCTAAAGAGTGAGAGAAGAGAGAAAGAGAAGAAACCAGATGAAATGTAAGAAAGAAGGGAGGGGCCAGGTGCAGCGGCTCACGCCTGTAATCCACTGTGGGAGGCCGAGGCCAGTGGATGGCTTGAACCCAGGAGTCAGAGATCAGCCTGGCCAACGCGGCAAAACCCTGTCTCTACAAAAAAATACGAAAAAAGCCTATGGTGGCACATGCCTGCAGTCCCAGCTACTCAGGATGCTGAGGTGGGAGAATCACTTGAGCCAGGTGAGGTTGAGGCTGTAGTGAACCATGATTGTGCCACTGCACTCCAGCCTAAACACTGTCAAAAAAAAGGAAGAAAGGAAAGAAAGAGAAAGAAAGAAAAAGAAAGAAAGAAAGAAAGAAAGAAAGAAAGAAAGAAAGAAAGAAAGAAAGAAAGAAAGAAAAAGAGAGAGAGAGAAAGAAAGAGAAAAGAAAAAAGAAGAAAGAAACAGGCCGGGTGCGGTGGCTCAAGCCTGTAATCCCAGCACTTTGGGAGGCCGAGGCGGGTGGATCACGAGGTCAAGAGATCGAGACCATCCTGGTCTACGTGGTGAAACCCCGTCTCTACTAAAAATACAAAAAATTAGCTGGGCATGGTGGCGCGTGCCTGTAATCCCAGCTACTCAGGAGGCTGAGGCAGGAGAATTGCCTGAACCCAGGAGGCGGAGGTTGCGGTGAGCCGAGATCGCGCCATTGCACTCCAGCCTGGGTAACATGAGTGAAACTCCGTCTCAAAAAAAAAAAAA